AGGGACCAGAGGCAGGGCGCTGTTGTCCCCCACCCCCACCTCTGCTTAAGCTTTAGGACAACAACTCCAAACATTTCAGCAAATCCTCCTGCGGTTTCCCTGAGACACTGAGAGATGCTGTCCATGGAGCTGAGAGCGGAGGGTTTGCAGGAGCCCCACCTTGGTGGCACGTGCTATTGGCTTCACTTTCCTGGAGATTTCAGGGCATGAGGGACACCCCCACCTACAGAAGCAGGCCGATTCATTCCTCTGAATTTCCGATCACTAGATGGGAGCTAGATGAAACTAAAAGACGCTTACTCCTTGGAAGGAAAGTTATGACTAACCTAGACAGCATATTAAAAAGCAGAGACATTACTTTGCCAACAAAGGTCCATCTAGTCAAGCCTGTGGTTTTTCCAATAGTCGTGTATGGATGTGAGTTGTACTATAAAGAAAGCTGAGCACTGAAAAATTGATGCTTTTGAACTGTGTTGTTGGAGAAGACTCTTGAGAGTCCCTTGGACAGCAAGGAAATCCAATCAGTCCATCCTCAAGGAAATCATCCCTGGGTGTTCATTGGAAGGACTGATGTTGAAGCTGAAACTCCAATATTTTGGTGACCTGATGCGAAGAGCTGACTCATTTGAAAAGACCCTGATGTTGGGAAAGGTTGAAGACAGGAGGAGAAGGGGACGACAGAGGATGAGATGGTTAGATGGCATCAGCGACTCAATGGATATGAGTTTGGGTAAACTCCGGGAGTTGGTGATGGGCCGGGAGGCCTGGTGTGCTGTGTTTCATGGGGTCGCAAAGAGTCGGACACGACTGAGCGACTGAACTGAACTGAATTGAGATGGTAGCTAGAAAGACACCTTATGGAACAGAACAGACTGGTGCCTTCAGAGTACATGTGACATTACAAACTCATGAACAAGGGTAAGAGGGAAGTCATCTACTGAGGGGAAAGGAAAACAAAACCTTTGCATTATTAGAATTCCCAAAGTAAAGAAAGTTGTTACGGAATCATATTTTAAAAGCCTTCAGGGCACTTCCCTGGTGGTCCAATGGTTAAGAATCTGCCTTCCAGTGGAAAGAACACAGGTTTGACCCCTGGTCAGGGAATTAAAATCCCACATGTCAAGGAGCAACTAAGTCCAAGTGCCACAACTACTGAGCTCTCAGGCCTCAACTGGAGAGTCTTTGTGCTTCCAGGAAATAGCCACACAACACAGCGAAGACCTGAGTACCACAGCTAAGTCCCAACGCTGCCAAATAAATAAATACTGTTTAAAGAAGGAAATCAGCCTTGGGAATTCCTGGTGATCCAGTGATTAGGACTCTGTCCTTCCACTGTAGGGGGCACGGGTTCCATTCCTTGTCTGGAAAAGATTTAGCATGCTGAGATGTGGCAAAAGAAAAGTCAGACTAGAAGAGCTGATTCTTAAAGAGAGAATTGTTTATTATCAATGAATATTTGAGAAGACGTCCAATCTTTCTGATAGTAAAAATAATTTTTTAAAAAAGTATCTCTGTGTGTGTGTGTTCTATGTATTGGTCAGTTAGGATTTGGCTGCAGATATCAAGAGTCACTTCAGCTAACTGAAGCAGAATGGGTTTTTGCACAAGGAGTTCCATGCCTATAAAAGCACCCCAGGATTGGAGAAGATTCAAGGCTGAGGCTGGAATGAACTTCCCATCCTCTAGAGGAGCACTGAAGGACTGGGCCACCAAGGATTCTGGGACTGCTGCTTTGATCAGGAACCAGAGATACTGGGAAGCCACTCTGGGACCAAATTGCTTTGTATGTTACGTCTGCAGATAAAACAATGCATCTCAGGTGAGAGCTGGATTCTGACTCCACTGCTGCTGCAGGAGACCTAGTCCTCACTACTGTGCTTGGCAGCAAAGCAGCAGCCCTGTCTCCCTGCCTGACGCAAGATCCAGTGCCTTTGCAGAGCTGGTGTCGCCAGAGAATCTGGGGAATATGGTCATTACTTTCTGTCCTTGGGGGTTCACAGCAGGGGATGAAGCAGAACTGAGTGAGGACAACCTCCACAGCTGCTCCAGAGAAAGTAAATAAAAACATCCAGTGTTTGCACGGGGCAAGGAAAGGTGAATGCTCATGCCTTGCTGGGTGGGATGTGTTCTGATACACAGGTCACAACTGGCATACAGAAATGTGTAATAACAGGTTTCACTCCACTTGATTCAGAAATACTATTTCCGGGAATTAATTGTAAGAAAACAATCAGCTATGCACACTAAAATATCTGTACATGATTGATTATCACAGTGTTATTCAGGACAGCAAACCTTTAAAACAAGAGGAAATCAAGGACACATAATTTTATGCCCCCGCATAACAGACATCTATGTGGTCACTGATGATAGTGTCCAAGACCAGTTTACCATTAAGTGAAAGAAGCCTGTGAGTGTTGGACAATAAAGAAAGCTGAGCGCCGAAGAATTGATGCTTTTGAACTGTGGTGTTGAAGAAGACTCTTGAGAGTCCCTTGGACTGCAAGGAGATCCAGTCAGTCCATCCTAAAGGAAATCAGTCCTGAATATTCATTGGAAGGACTGATGCTGAAGCTGAAACTCCAATACTCTGGCCACCTGATGGGAAGCACTGACCCTGACACTGGGAAAGATTGAAAGCAGGAGGAGAAGGAGACGACAGAGGATGAGATGGTAGGATGGCATCACCAACTCAATGGACATGAGTCTGAGTCAACTCCAGGAGTTGGTGACGGATAGGGAGGCCTGGCGTGCTGCAGTCCATGGGGTTGCAAAGAGTTAGACACAATGAGTGACTGAACTGAACTGAAAGAAGCCTGAGCTCAGGGACCCTCACTTGCACTGGTTCTGTCCAGGAGAATTCCCGAGAACAATTCTGCAGTGTGCTAGCATTGCTGTCATTACTATTTGCTAAAGTATGATTCTAAGAGTAACTGGTTAAAACTGCAGACTGTTTCCAAACTGTCTTTACTGTCCCACCTTCCCTTGTTTCTGAATGACATTTTAGTGTTACTGGCATTTTAGATTATAATTCTCCATTATATTTTTTAGAGTTTTCTCTCCCCAATGACTTACATCTCAAGCCCCTAAAACCTAGATCTGTCCTTGGTTATAGATTTATATTTGTCAATAGGGGGAATTGTTCCTTAGGTATTGTTAAGACGGAATTTGACCATGCAGTAGTAAGGCAAGACAACGTTTGGTGTTTTAACACGTACACGTGCTTTTCTTTTGTTTGTTTGTTTTTGTGGTAAGAGTCACATAAAGTCAAACATGCTATTTTAATTGCATTTAACTGCATGTACATATTTTTTTCATTATTTAGTCTATTTATTTTTGGCTGTGCTGAGTTTCATTGCTGTGAAGGCTTTCTCTGGTGTTCAGGCTTCCCACTGTGGTGGTTTTTCTTGTCTCAGACCATGGGTTCTAGGGCACATGAGTTCAGTAGTTGAGGCTTGGGGGCTCAGTTGCCCCGGGCATGTGGGATCTTAGTTGCCTGACCAGGAATCGACCAATTCCCTGACCGATGTCTCCTGCATTGGAAGGTGGATTCTTACACACTGGACCACCAGGGAAGTCCCTCTCCTGTGTTTTTAATGTATGGTACTTGGAGCAACTTTGGAAGTCTGGGCAAAACTCTAGGTAACTTACGATGTCGCAGACATAAATTACTTTTACCATCTGAGTGAGAAAACAGACTTTCTCAGTACCATGGCCACTCAGACCACTTTGGATGTCAGACGTGTGGATTTCCTTACAAGAAACTCCAGTTGTCTATGGATAGCAGCTGGGTGTCCTGCAATTTAACGTGATTCTGACATTAACTAGAGTTAACCCCACGGGTTAAGGGCTCAAACCCACAAGATTGCCCCACTTAGTGGCTCAGATGGTAAAGAATCTGCCTGCAGTGTGGGAGACCCAGTTTCCATCTCTGGGTTGGGAAGATCCACTGAAGAAAGGAATGGCAACCTACTCCAGTATTCTTGCCTGGACAATTGTGTGGACAGAGGAGTCTTGCCAGCTACAGTCCATGGGACCGCAAATAGTCGGACACGACTTATTGAATGACACTTTCACTTTTGGTCAAAATAGAGTGGAAACAGACGTGGCTTCCTGTCGTGGATATCAGTGCCCATTCTTAGAGTTCTTGGCCCATATCCTATCACCAGTGGCCCTACAGATGCCCTACACCCTGTCTGATAAATAAGAACCCAGTAGGGACACTCATGAAAGGTCACAGCATCTTGTTTTTATTTCTTTTTTTGTTGTTATTGTTGTTTTTATTTCTTATGATTCTTTGAAGAATTTTGGGAGGAAGAGGGCTTGTCATTTGGGGGACTGACATCCTGAGGCCCTGGACGGTCATCTCCAGCACGGGAACCACTCTCTTCTTCAGTACTGGATCTCCGGGAAGGAGAGACCTTCTTTATTAAATCCCACAGCTTCGCCCCACATGCTGACCCAGCAGAGCCCAGGAGGATGTTGGATGATGTGGAGAGTCCAGCTGCCCCTGGGGGAGAGGAGGATGTTAGAGCACAAGCAGACAGGCAGGCCCAGCAGCCCCTGGCAGGGCCATGGGGGTCAGAAATCCCAGGACCATCTGCAGGCCCAAGAAATAGACATCCCACCTTGGTTGCCTGCTCTACTTCCTGAAACCCCAGGACGTCTGCGGGGGGAGGGGCGGCTGCACACGGCTGCCCAAAGAGGAGACATGAACTCTGATGGTCAGTCCATCAGCGGCAGGACAGACCCCCTGAGAAAAGACAGGCTGCCCCTCCCTCCACTGCACTCGGCTGGGCCCAGGGAGGGGAGAGGAACTACGTAGGTTACATAGGGTTGATGAGGAATGCCGGCCTCCTGGGCTGCACACCCCTCCTCCCATCACCCATAACCCCAAACAGATGTGGGGACAGTGAGGGGGACACAAAGGTCCAGGGACACTGATGACCATGAAGCTGGAAGAAGCAGAGGGGCCCACCTCCTCCCGCCCAGACACTTACCCACGGACTGGAGAGTGGCCACCAGGCTTCCGGCGGCAACTCCGCCTCCATTGGCCACGGCGGCCGCTGACATCATCTTGGCCGCTATGGAGGAGGCAGCGATTCCAGCCCCGGTGAAGCCCATGGCGCCCAGCACCGCGGGCACAGACGCCACGGCCAGGGCTGCAGGGAGAAAGGAGCTTTGGGTTTGGGCCCATGGGACCGACTCCCTAGATCTCCCTGACACCCTCCTGTGACATGAGGTGAGGGGTCCACTCTGCTCTCCTGAGAACCTCGGCGTCCAAGACAAGGGAAGGCTGTAGATGTGGACACAAGTGGGTGGGGGACCCCTCCAGAAACCTGAATCCCAGGCCTGTTTGTACCTCATTTTAGCTGTGTTCCTGGGAACCTCAGCAGTCCTCCCTGGGCTTTAGTTCGCCCTTTATGAAATAAAGTTGAAACAAGTAGGGGTCTTCAAACGCCCCCTTTTGATGGGGAAACTGGTGTCTTTCACACAGGCACAGGCCCACAGTACGAGGACAGAACTGCTCTTCTGAAAAGGTGCTGGGTGGAGCTTCTGACCTCTGGCCCGGGGCCGCTGGTGAGCACCCCCCAGGGTCCCTACATCTCAGATGGTGCAGGCATAGACCCTTCTGCCACCAGAAACCTTCTATGTCTACAACATCCACATGGTGGACACATGTGGCACTGAGCACTTGAGACTGGCTGGTGTGACAGAAATGTTTGATTTCCTTTGATTCTGGCCACCATGAATGACCCTCACCAGTGGATGACCCTAACTGGACTCACTGGATGAGCTCCAAGGATTACAGAGCAGTTCTGAGAAATCCACACAGCTCAGCTCACACATTTCCTACAGGCTTTTGCAAGATAACCGTGCCCCGGCTTTCTGGGGAGAAATCACGGATTCAGACAACTCTAGCAACTCAACCTGGGTTCCCGCAGCTTGCACTCGGGAGAAGCTGAGATTGGAAGTGGGTGCTGTGAATGGCTTTTCTTTGGTTCCTTCTTGGCAAGGGTCTTATTACCGCAAGAATTCCACCTCTGACACCTTCCACCCCACCCCTACCCACCCAGGTCTTGAGGCTCAAGGCAATCTTGGACTCAGTCAAGGCCAGACTCTCCCAGGAGCCCAGGGACAGTGGCAGATGCAGCTTGAGTTGCTTTACAAAGAGACTCACCTCCTCCGACCACGGCTGCGGCAGTCTTGCCTGGAGAAAGAAAGAACCCCTGTGAATGCCCAGCACTGGCCTTCCCCTGCATCTCTGCTACTGTCCCAGTGGGAAAGGTTCCCTGGAGTTGGGATCATAGGAGACAGCAGCCCCTGTGTGGCTTTCTGCTTTTACGTAGTAGTCTGATAGTCAGGGAATCAGAGGAGGATGGACAAGAGCCCAGACCTCTGTGATGCTCCAGAGGGGGTAGAGGAACCTGCCTTGAAACGGGTTCATACTGTTCCTTAATTTCAATATCTTCTGTATCATTTTCTCAACAAGAAAAAAAAGAAATCAGAAAAGCATGCTGATTTTATTTGCAATCAAATAAATTTGACTGTTTTGGTTTGTTCATCTTTCAGACACCCTATGTCCTTCCGAGGATATAGCTTAAGTGGGAGCACCCCGTCCTCCAGGGCTCAGCCTACTTGTGACTTTCTGCACAAAGCATCCCTGATTCCCCCATCAGGAAATGTGTGTGCTGCCTTCTGACTGGAGCCCCTGGCCACACTGGATTCCGGCATGCCTGTACCATACTGAATTGCTCAGAGCTCTTGGGTCTGGCAGGGATACCTGACAGCAGCAGGGACTGGGATGTTTGGGCAGTAGGGACCAGGTGTTCCGGAGACTTCAGGAGCTGTGGGAGTGAGCTCAGCCAACTCCCCAGATAGAGAAGCCTTGATACCAGGCAAGGAGGAAAAGGTACAAAATCAGCCTCCGGCCCCCAGCCACTTCTGGAAGGCTGTAGCTCCTGGCTCACCAACGCCTCTCTCTCCATCAGGAGCCTTGATTTGTCTTGAGGGCTTCCATTTCCGCACAGATGAAATTTCTAACAACCTGGTCTTTCAGTTCTCACCTCCCTACTTCTAAGGATCTTAGACTCTAGGCCACACACACCCAAGGTCATACCCTATACCTATGCTGCCCACTATGGGAACCACTAACTATGTGAGCTACTTAAATCTTGAAAGTGAAAGTTGCTCAGTCCTGTCTGACTCCTTGTGATCCCATGGACTATACAGTCCATGGAATTCTCCAGGCCAAAATACAGGAGTGGGTAGCCTTTCCCTTCTCCAGGGGCTCTTCCAACCCAGGGATCGAACCCAGGTTTCCCGCATTGCAGGCAGATTCTTTACCAGCTGAGCCACAGTGAATTACAGTGAAATAAGCATTACAACTCCATTTCTCGGTCACATGATCCAGTGCTCATTAGTCACACATGGCTAGTGGCTACTGTTTTGGATCACACAAAGAACATGGTCATCACTGCAGAAAGCTCTATTGGATAGTGGGGCCCTAGACCTTGACACTAGCAAGCATTGCCTTCTCCCTGTGATCAACTTCAGCACCCCTCTAGATACTCCCAGCTCCTCCTTTCACAGATTCTGACTCCAATACAGCCTTCAAGAGTTCCTCAACCACAATGAGATTTTTGATCTCTGTCCAGACACAACTTGGAGATACGAGGGATTCGGTTCCAGGTTACTGCAATAAAGCAATTATCAGATGATTTTTTGGTTCCAAATTGCATATAAAAGTTATGTTCATAATATGCTGGAGTCTACTAAGTGCACAATAACCTTATGTATTAAAAAAATGTGTATATCTTAAGTTAAAAATACTTTATTGCTAAAAATATAAACCAACTCTGCCAACTCTTGGTTGCTACAAGCCTTCAACTTGTTTCAAAAAAAAAAAAAGAGCATCTGCAAACTCCAATAAAATGAGATTTGCCCACCTTAGTTTCCTGAGGCTGCAGTAACTAATGACCACAAGCTCTGTTGATTCTCTCATGTTCTCACAGTTCTGGAGGTTAGAGGTGTAGCAGAGCCAGGCTCTCCCTGAAGGCTCTGGGGGAGGATCTTTCCTTGCCTTTGGAACATCACTGTCTAGTGCTTGCTGACAACTCCTGGCTTGTGGCTGCCTCGTTCCGATCTCTCTGACTCCACCACTGCTGCCCTAGTGGGCATCACCTCTCCTTGTCCAGGATCAGAGATGGGAGAAACACACAGAATGAGACACATCTGCTGGCCGCTGGGTACAGAGAAGAGTGAAGGTGTTGGGGTCCCTTCTTGCCCCCTGTGCCCACAGGTGAAAGTTCACTTCTCTAGTGAGGATGAGGAGGCTCTCATTGATCTGGCTTCTGCTTCTATCCTGGGGAAAGAAAAGAAGCCATGCCCAGTCTTCAGCATTCAGTCTTTTGCCTGACAAATCCAGGAACATCTTCCAGGACTCTGCCACACGTTCCCAATGCTCCTGAGCCACCTCCACCTAAAGACTCAATGTGAGTCTACTGTGCTCCTGCTGCCACAGAATTTTCCACAAGGCAGTATGATTCTCTATCATTTCTGCTTCTTGAGGGTTTTAAAGTCAATTGTAAATCCTCCTTCACTGCCATCTCCCAACATGACAACTACTGGTTTGGGACCAAGGAAGCTCTGAAGGAGAATTTCAGAAAAAGAAGTATGAATGAAGCGTATCTTTGCATGTAAAGTCATGTTATGATCTGAATGCTTGTGTTCCCATAAATTCACATTCTGAAACCTAATACCCCATGTGATGGTGTTAGGAGGGTTGCTTCTGGGAGGTGATTTGGTCTTGAAGGCAGAGCCCTCTTGACTGAGATGATTTTCCTTATGAAAGAGACCCCTCCACCCCATCCTCATGCCAGTTCCTTTCTTCCTCCCACCATAGAAGCTTACAGGGTTGGCTGTCTAGGAAGTGAGCTCTCACAACACAGAATCTACCGGTGTCTTGATCTGTGACTGCCTAGGCTAGATAAATGTGAGAAATAAATTCCTGTTTTTTTAAAGACACCTGGGTTGTGGCATTTTGTTATAGCAGCCATAATGGTCTACAACAACACACAATCCACAGAGTGGAAAGGCAACTTACAGAATGGGAGAAAAACTTGGCAAATCATGTATCTAGTAAGGGACTAATATTCAAGGTATGGTAGAAAGAATTCCTATGACAAAACTCAGAGAACTCAGTTTAAGATTGGGCAAAGAATTCAAATAGGCAATTTCCTAAAGAGATACAAATGGCTAACAAGCATTTGGAAAGATGCTCAAATTCAGTCATCATTAGGGAAATGTAAATCAAAACCATGAGATACCACTTCACGTCCATCAGGATAGCTACTATTTAAAAAACCAAAAAAACCTAAAATAACAAGCCTTGGTTAGAATGTGGAGGAGCTGGCACTCTTTTGCACTGTCGGTAGGAATGTAAAATGGTGCAAGAGCTATGGAAAACACTATGGCAGTTCCTGAAAACATTAACATAGAAAATCATATGATCCAGCAGCAATCCAATTTCTGGATATTGATTTAAAGAAATTGACAACAGGCTCTGGAAGAGATAGTTGCATTGCATGTTCATAGCAGCATTTTTCACAGTTGTCAAGAAGTGGAAGCAATCTAAGTGTCCATCGATGGATAAATGGGTCTTCACCACGTGGTAGAGACACACAAGGGAAGCTCATTCTGCATTAAAGAGGAAACTATGACATATGGGTGAACCTAGGGAAACTTACGCTAAGTAAAATAAGCCAGTCAGAATAATAAAAATACTGTATGATTCAGCTGACATGGAAATGAGATTACCTTACTCAAATTTTAGAAATAGAAAGAATTGTGGTTTCCCAGAGCTGGGAGCAGGAGGAGACAGATAGTTAATGTTTAATGTGTACAGAGTTTCCGTTTCAGGAAATGAAAAGAATTCTATGGATCAAGTACACAACAATGCAAATGTACTTAACACTATTCAACCTACACTGACAAACTGTCATCTTGGCAAATTAAATTCTATAGTGTACGATCACCTGATTTAAGAAAAAACAAACATGTACCTTTGGTACCCTGGCCCAAGGCTGGCCCCACATTAGAGGTGACACTGCTCTCGGAGGGTGTGTGCTGGGAGGACATTAGTGACCAGGCCCTGGGGCATCAGGGGAGGAGTGCAAACAGGGAAATGAAACTTACCTGCCTTGGGTGCTGTGGGGCCACAGGGCAGGCATGGGCAGTGGACTTTCATCTGCAGGAGCCGGGCCTGAGACTGTGCCTGCCAGTTGTCAGGCATCTAACCTGAGCAGCACCTCTGCCCCACCTAACTGGAGGTGAGCTGGTTCTGAGAGGCCTGTAAGAGTGAGCTCATCCCACCCCTGTGCTTAAAAACAAACCTATGAAGGCCCAGAGAGGGCAAGTGACTGGCCCTGGGTCACTCAGCAAGTCAGAGGCAGAGCTAAACCCTGAAATGTGGTCCCTCTGATTCTAGAGCATCATTTATTTCATCTCCTGTGTACACTGTGACTTTTTTCTGACTGTGTGTCAGAGACATTCCATCAGGGAGACTGTCCTGACACTGACAACTTAGCAGGTTGAGTCGAGCAGTGGGTGTGGGGTGAGGATCTGTGGATTGGTGCTCAGAGACCCGTTACCTGCATAATGGTAGAAATTGCTGCCTTTCGACTTGGGTGGATCTCTGGGGTCAGAGCCAGAGCCATCTGGTCCCTGATGAGGCCCCTGATGTGGCCCCTGTGGTGTCTTCCCAGGAGAAGAACCGTCAGAAGCCTGGTTGGTTGACTGGGAAGGTTCTTCTTCCTCTGGAAGAAAGAAATAACAGGGGAGCACACAGCGGGGCAGGCAGCTGTGGGACCAGATGCCACACAGCACCCTCCACCCTTTCCTGAAGCTCCCAGGATCTCTGATGGAGGGAGGGGACCTCAGACGAAGCTGAGCTGAGAGGTGTCAAGGGTGCTTGGAGGTGAACCAGGGAGAAGACAGAGAGAGGGAGGCCCAGCACCAATGGAGAGCTGGGGGGTCCTGACTGCACAGAGCAGGAGGCTGAGGACCAGGGGGGAAGAGACTTGATGGGGCCCAGAGCACCAGGGGTGCTCACCAGGGGTGGCAGCACCAGGACAGAACCCAGACCCCCTCTGCCCACGTCCAGGAACCGCAAGCTCTGGGCCACCCCACCCTCGGGAGCTTTCCCAAGGGCACTCACCTTCCGACAGCAATTCCGGCAGGAGGGCGTCCAAAGCACCGCCTTCCCCGCTCTCTATGGCTTTAGCTGACATCCTGGAGGCTGTGTGGGAACACTAGTTATGGAGCCAAGGACACCACTGTCTTTCTGAGAAACAGAGTGTGAAGTTAAAACTGCTCTGCTTGATTTAGGGCTTCCCTGATAGCTCAGTTGGTAAAGAATCCTCCCGCAATGCAGGAGACCTGGGTTCCATTCCTGGGTTAGGAAGATCCCCTGGAGAAGAGAAAGGCTAGCCACTCCAGCATGCTGGCCTGGAGAATTCCATGGACTGTATAGTCCATGGGAAGAGTCACAAAGAGTCAGACATGACTGAATGACTTTCAGGGGGACATCTGTCTGCCATCCCAGCCCTGCCCTCTGTTCCATTGAAGCCTGTGAGTCACTTCCAGCCCACCGCCTTAATCTGCTCAGACCACAGTTTTGAAGTTAATAATGACTTTCCTTGGCTCCCTGATCGCCAGAATCCTGGCCACCTTTAATACCCCATCTCTGTCTCCTGCTCACTGCCCACCTGGTCAAAGTCTCAGGGCTTCATAGTAACCCAGGTCATGACAAGACCAGAGGTTCCCAACATCTCATAGTAAATGTGGGCTCAAGCCCCCTCCCCACACTCCGCTCTGGTCACAGGGACAGCAGTCCTGATGGAAGTGGAGAGGGAGGCTGAGAGTGGAGGCTCCCTCCCCTCCCCACTCCCAGGCCCCTTCTTACCCTGCTTAGTAGGTGTTGGGGATCGAAGAGTAGTGTGTGAAAGGCTGCATGTAGTGAGGCTGTTGAGAACTCCAGCCGGCTAAATAGTCCCTCCCTGGGTGATGTCTGACCCCAAGAGTCCAAGGAGGAGGTGAGTCACCCTCATCCCAGGCTTGGTGCCAGGGAGACCTCACCTTTGCATGCTAATGGGAGGACACGGGGCGGGCCTTCTGAAGGAGCATTGCTTTCCCACTCAGATTCCCCTTCTTGGAATCTTTATAAAAATCACCTGCAATTCTTGTGAACTTTCTTTTCCCTGCCCTCCATGATTTGCAAGTTTACAGGACAAAACATTTTTCCTTGGCTGACAAATAGCACAGAGCCCTAATCTCATATCTGTAACAACTGATGCGGGTTGATGGTCAAGAGCACCATCTCTGACCAGTGCCTGGGGAGGAATCCTTAGTCGCAGCTAAGGGAGTGAATTCCCCTTGGTGCGCCTTACTTTGCTGACACATTAGCATTCACAGGATAGGTGGTATCACTACACTTACTTCTTTTTGTCCCTTGACGTGTGGAAGTATTAGTCCCTCCGTCATGTCCGGCTCTTTGTGACCCCAAGACTGTACCCTGCCAGGCTCCTCTGTCCAAGAAAGTCTCCAGGTAAGAGTACTGGAGTGGGTACCCTATTTCAGGGGATCTACCTGACACAGGAATGAACCAGTGTCTCCTGCATTGCAGGCAGATTCTTTACCAGCTGAGCTACCAGGGAAGCACCCGAAGACTTATATATATATATATATATTCCTTATGCAAATATTATATATTATTATATGTATATATATTTTGCTTATTTTACATTATCTGCTAAAAGGAAATGACCAAATTATTTCCCTTTAAGAAAGAATAACGAATTAGTTCTTTTACCCTTAATTTTTTTTAAAATTATTTTTGCTATGCAAAGCAGGACCCAGTGCAGGTCCAGCTGCTTCCAAAGCGAGGTCTTAGAATGGCTCTTATTTGCTCCCTCCTAATTCTTGTCTCTTCCCCTAACCACCTCACGCCTACCCGGCCTTGAGACTTGAGGGTCACCCTGGAACAGACTAGGCTTAGTCTGTACTAAGAGTCCTAGCGCACAGCACCAGGTGGGAGATTAAGAACTGATGAGAGTCAGTTCTTCTCATCAAGTGGCCAAAGTTTTGGACCTTCAGATTCAGCATCAGTCCTTCCAATGAATATTCAGGACTGATTTCCTTCAGGATTGACTGGTTTGGTCTCCTTGCTGTCCAAGGGACTCTCAAAAGTCCTCTCCAACACCCAGCTCCAAAGCATCAATTCTTCAGTGTTCAGCTTCCTTTATAGTCCAACACTCACATCCATACATGACTACTGGAAAAACCTTAGTCTGACTAGCTGGACCATTGTCAGCAAAGTAATGTCTCTGCTTTTTAATATCCTGTCTAGGTTGTTCATAGTTTTTCTTCTAAGGAGCAAGTGTCTTTGAATTTCATGGCTGCAGTCACCATCTGAAATGATTTTGGAGTCTAAGAAAATAAAGTCTGTTACTGTTTCCATTGTTTCCCCACCTATTTGCCAAGAAGAGATGGGACCAGATGCCATGATCTTAGATTTTTGAATGTTGAGGCTTAAGCCAGTTTTTTCACTCTCCTCTTTCACTTTCATCAAGAGGCTCTTTAGTTCCTCCTCAATTTCTACCATAAGGGTGGTGTCATCTGCATATCTGAGGTGTCTGGTATTTTCCCAAAAATCTTGATTCCAGCTTGTTTCATCTAGGCTGGCATCTCACATGGGGTACTCAGCATGTAAGTTAAACCAGCAAGGTGACATCCAGGAGCTCTACAGATACATTGAAAGGGCATAGAGAATATGGTCATCATGGTAATCGAGGTGGTATGGTAAACAACCCTTCATGACGTTATCTGTGTGCGTGCCTTCCACCCCCATCCCCCACCACCGGGAACTCTACACCTGTTACAGAATCCAACCTCATATTGCTTGCCACAAGACAGGGCAAGAAATTGAGAGAAAAATGGTTTGGGCAATGAATAGAGACTTTATTCAAATACCATCTTCTCCAGAGACTGAGAAGATGGTAGACCAGTGTTCCCAAGAGCTCTCTTCGCAGGGCTGGAATTCACTCTTCTCTTACACTGAAAGAATGGTGTAGCTGGTTACTGGAATCTTCTTGGTGCCTTTCTTCTTGCAGCTATCCAGGTAGGTCTGGTCATAAGGTTCTGATGTTGTTGTTTGGTTGCTCAGTCATGTCCAACTCTTTGCGACTCCATGGACTGTAGCCTGGCAGGCTCCTCTGTCCGTGGGATTTCCCAGGTAGAAACATCCAGCTAGATAAATGCTATTCTCTTTTCTGCAACTTTGTAAATTTATTTTACTTGAAGGATAATTGCTTTACAGAATTTTGTTGTTTTCTGTCAAACCTCAGTAAGAATCAGCCATAGGTATACATATATCCCCTCCCTTCTGAACCTCCTTCCTATCTCCTTCCCCATCTCACCCTTCTAGGTTGATACAGAGCCCCTGTTTGAGTTTCCTGAGCCATACAGCAACTTCCTGTTGGCTGTCTATTTCACATGTGGTAATATGAATTTCCATGTTACTCTTTCCATACCTCTCCCCCTCTCCCCGCTCTCCCCATGTCCATAAGTCTATTCTCTATGTCTGTTTCTCCACTGCTGCCCTGGAAGTAAATTCTTCAGTACCATTTTTCTAGATTTCATATATATGCATTAGAATACAATATTTACCTTTCTTTTTCTGACTTACTTCACTCTGTATAATAGGTCCTAGGTTCATCCAGCTTATTAGAACTGACAGAAATGCGTTCCTTTTATGGCTGAGTAATATTCCATTGTGTATATGTACCACTGTTTCTTTATCCATTTATCTGTCGATGGACAGCTAGGTTGTTTTCATCTTCTAGCTATTGTAAGTAGTGCTGCAATGAACAATGGGATACATGTGTCTTTTTCAGTTTTGGTTTCCTCAGGGTATATCCTAGGAGTGGGATTGCTGGGTCATATGGTGCTCTTATTCCTAGTTTTTGAAGGAATCTCCGTACCGTCTTCCATAGTGGCTTTATCAATTTACATTCCCACCAACAGTGCAAGAGGGTTCCCTTTTGTCCACACCCTCTCCAGCATTTACTGTTTGTAGACTCTTTGAGGATGGCCATTCTGACTGGTGTGAGGTGATATCTCATTGGAGTTTTGAGTTGCATTTCTCTAATAATGAGTGATGTTGAGCATCTTTTCATGTGTTTGCTAGCCATCGGCGTGTCTTCTTTGGAGAAATATTTGTTTAGGTCTTTTTCCCACTTTTGGATTGGGTTGCTTGCTTTTCTGGTATTGAGTTGTATGAGCTGCTTATATATTTTGGAAATTAATCCTTTGTCAGTTGTTTCATTTCCTATTATTTTCTCCCATTCTGGGGGTTGTCTTTTCACCTTCTGTCTAGTTTCCTTTGCTGTGCAAAAGCTTTTCAGTGTAATCAGCTCCCACTTGTTTACTTTTGTTTTTATTTCTGTAACCTTGGGAAACTTACGCTAATTGAAATAAATCAGTCAGAAAGAAAAAATATATCATGATTCCATTTACTTGGAAATTAGTTTAAATTGGTCAGATTCATAGAGACAGAAAGGACTGTGGCTGCCAGGAGCTGGGGTGAGGAGGAAATGGGTAGTTAATGTGTAATGCTTCTAGAATTTGAGGTTGGGGTTTGGTGAAAGGAGTTCTGGAGTTGGGGTGCACAAAATGTGAATATAGTAAACACTGTTCAGTGCACACCGACAAAAGGTCATGCCATTATTTCAGGCTCTGTGTATTCTGCCATGATTTATTTTTAAAGCATGTGCCTTTGGTGTCTTGGCCCTGGGTTGGACACGTCTTAGAGCTGACTCTGCTCTCGGAGGGTGTGTCTTTGGAAGACATTAGTAACCATGTCCTGGGGAATCGAGGGAGGAGCCCAAATGGAGAAATGAAACTTACCTGCCTTGGGTGCTGTGGGTCAACGGGGCAGGCGTGGCAAGGAGCCGAGCCTGATCCTGTGCCAGCCAGCTGACCAGGAGCCAGAGCAGCCTCTCTGTCCTACCTAACTGGAGATGACCTGGATCTGGGAGACCTTTAAGAGTGACCTCATCCTACCCGTGTGAGGTCAGAGGTGGCTCCTCTCTCTGCTCCCTATGGTTTTAGCTGTCATCCTGGTGGCAGTGTGGGAACAGGATGCACAGCCAAGGACAGCACAATCATCCTCACAGACAGAGTTAGAAAATCAGAAGTGCTCTCCTGATTTGTGAAGGACTAGGGAATGGGC